AATTATTAATCAAAAATAGGATTTTTTAAATATTTACTTGTCATCTGATTTTTTGATTTGCGATTTATCTTTTCTCGTTGACGTATCTGTCGATTTGTCATGATTATTTTTAATTACGTTTTCTGTCTTAATTTCTGTCATATAGGCAATAGATGGATATTTAATAGACGTTACAATAGAATAATGAAGAGGGAATTCACCAACATTTTCCACATTAAGATATAGCGTTTTTTTCGTGCATATACCGAGCGAGGAAAAATTTATTTCATAAGGATAAATACGAAACCTGTATTTAAAAAAGATAGTACAATATAACTTAATAATTGTGACTATGTTATTAATATTTATTAAGAAGCAAAAAAAAGTATTTTATTACTAAATTGTAGATAATCTGATTTTTTAAAAGTTATAAAAGGAAAACTTTGTTTCAAAATTTTGACATAATTTAAAGAAATTTTCAGCTTTAAGTAACAGTTTACTTCGTGTAATACGCAATTAGGGAAACTGTGAGAGGAAATTCCGCAATTACAGTAGCTTGTTTATTTATTTCAAGAAGATGGCATCGGAGTATTGGGCACTCTTTTAGAGTAATTTCACTTTTTGGTACGAAAGTTACCTGTCATTGAATAGAATTTCATTAATTAAAACTTATAGCTATTTTGATTTAACATATTTACATTTTTTAATATATAAAAATACATTAAATTTGCTTTTTCTATTGTAAAACATTAAGTCAATATATTATAAAAATAAAAATAATTAGCTTATTTTAATTTTTAGTGATGTAATGCAAGAAATCACCAAAAAGAAGTGCGTCAAACAACATACTTGTATAATAGCTTCTTTTTTTGGTTGAATGAAACCAGAAGCAGGATTAATTTCTACGTCCTCGTTCAATTTTAGTGACAAATTTGGCGCGATTTTGGCTAGTTTGTTTTGTTTTTCCAAAAGTATGCTAATTATAATTATTAACTTAATTGGTATATAGCATATATAATTAATAATTAATATACTATAGATATAACATTAAAAGAAATAATAAAAGAACATTTTGTAATGTATAAAAACGATAATGTTGTACAATTTCAGTGATTTCATAGTATCTCGATACAATGAATATAAGAATTTGCTAGATACACTTTTCAACTTACGCATATTTAACTTCGTGATTTCCTCGATTACTTAGTGTAAAATTTGCGCTCGTAGGAAAACCAACCTTCACGCATTTTAAATCAATTGGATTTGCATAATTAATGTCAACAGCAACATCATATGTTTCGCCGAATAAAGTAATAGTTTCTATAAAGATAGGTTCCGTGTCGCCTTCGTAAAAGAAAACTTTAAAAGTCAAGCTTTCTTCGATCATTCCGATCTAAACCAAAAATCTAATTTAAGCTATTTTTAGAAATAGCGAATTAAAATATCAGATTTTCAAGAAATTTATATTAAAAAAATTAAAGAATTATTAAATTTTTAAATTTAAGCAAATAAAATTGAAATATTAATATTTTTAGTAATAGATTTTAGTATTATATTTAGTGTAAATTTTTTTTAATCTTTTACTTTGTTGGCGTGATAACAAAATTCGATTGTTTTATCACTGTAAGTCTTGATAATTCCTTTAGTCGGTGTAATTGAGATTTGAGGATCTAATGGTTCATTAGGCTCCAATTGCCAGAATATTTTAATTGGAGATCTATTTTGAATATGGGAAGTAAGACAGTTTTTTCTATGCAAGAATATGTGACCAAAAGATAACTGTTTATCCTCTAACTCTATGTCCAATTTCGAACCATTACATTGAAGCTAAAACATTTTAGGTGTAATAATCTCTACGCATATTTTTTATAGATAAAAATATAGGGATGTGTGT